AATAAACTAAATAAAGAAATGGACAATGAGCAATGCAGTTGCAATCTATTATTAGTCATGCTTGTGCTGAGTTAGACGGATTAAAAAAATCATTTCTCATCTTCTATGGTCAAAATCCTCTATATTATATTTTTATATTTATTTTTTCTGTTCAAAAAATTACGTTTTTTATTGAAAATTTAGAGACAACATGATAGGCATGCGGCCTGTCTATTTTAAGCAGCCTACCTAGATGGTGGCAAGCTCGAATATCCAGGCCTGTGCCTGCCACAGATAGGATCAATGACTTGTTTGAACCCGTAACTCCACTGTTTTTTCGAATAACTCAAGAAAGCAAAGAACGAAAAACCTGCGGCTTTCACTAATCGAAAGAGGAGAGAAGGAAACATCTTCTTTTCCAATTATTATGTAGGATGAAGCCGTTTAAAAATCATTCATTTCTGCAAAGCATTGGAAAACATGTATGAAAACAATTTGTAATTGGCATGAAATTTCGGCTTTGACATGCGATTTAGATAGAAGGACTTCAGATTTATTGTTCAAGATGTCATTCCGAATGCTTGTCTTTCTGCACCCTAGCGCTAAGCAAATGAAATCGTCTATTCACTTCTGTGAAACTCTGAATTTCTTGTGATTTTTCACCAAGTTTTCTTACTTTTTATCAAAACTTTATCTAAATGATATACCATTTTTATGCAGTTCTTTTGCAATGTTTTGTAGAAATGAATGATTCACAATGATTTTGTTTTATATAATAATGGAGAAAAAGATGTCCCTTCTCTTTTCTTTCGATAGATAAAAACAACAGGTTTTCAGCTGTTTGTGTTCTCCAGTTAATAAAAAAATAAATGCGGAAACCTCGGACTTAAGCCCGAGAGTTATGTGTACTTCAAAAAGTGAATGAGACAAATCAGTCATCCTAGAATGTGTGGATATACAAATTAGCTTGGCAAACCTTTTCTATAAACACTTGAATTCTATTGACTACTGCTCAACCAATAGGATTTTGGGACGAATACAACTCAGATTAGAACTCTTCGCCTTAATTTACCCTCAGAAAGTCGTTTTTTCTACAACTTGATTTCTATTGGTCAGTGCTCAACCAATAGGGCTTCGAAACAAGTGGAGTACCGAGTCGAGTTCTCCACCCCAGAAAACCTTCAAGCATCACCTCTTATCGGAAGATAGTGCTCTCATTTATGGATCAGTTAGAGCGTGGACAAGAACCGAACCGATTTCCGTTTATTTATCTTTGCAATAGGTGAGCTAGCCATCTTGTTTCTTTATGTTTTATATACCATTTTGTAGCTCGTAAAATTCTCTATCGAATGGTATATAATAGTTGGGATTTTGATTGACTATGATAGGAAAATTGTTTTAGGAAAGCGAGGAATGGTCGATTTTCCCACAGGAAGCCATAGGGAAAAATGAGTATTTTTGCAATAACTCAGGAACAGTTCGACCAATTCTTCTCATCTTCGAATTCGATCGAGACATTGTTAAGACTGAACTGTGCAGAAAATTTCATCGCGATCGGGCTCTCCTTTCAAAAGTTATCGTGTAAACGAACGGGCGGCCGGACACACTGACCGATTCTAGAGTGTACTCACTTTTTGAGTACACAAAAACAATGGAGACAGCATATTTCTATACCAACAATAGTCATCTATGCAAGAGACTCTTAAAAGCTAACTGATTTATAAAACTTCCAGAACCGTTATCAAGACTTTTGGTCAGCCCTAACTATCAATCAATCAATCATGATTCATCCACAAACAGAGCAACAAACAGTTCAGGTTTGAAAAGCAAGATCGGAACGACCGTATACGACTAAATAAGGTGGATTACAATCATCGTACACGATTGTTAAATAGCGCTGATAGTGTACGACTTTCAGGTACGATCGAATTTGTACCGTGGTAAATTTTAAGTAACTGTTTTTTGTCCATTTTAGATCTCTCTCAACGATTCAATGAATAGTAAGTAGTATTGTAAATTAAACTGTTAGGCTTTTCTTTTTAAATTCGTTTCAATGACAGAAGGAATGGTAACTATTCAGTTCAAATTATACTATTATTTTTTTGTATTTTAGATTTATTTCAACGGTAAGATGAACAATAAGTATCATTTTAAATTAAAGACTTCTTTCTATTGATTTATATGTATATCAACGGCAAGCTTAACGCTAGGTATTATTTTAAAAGAAGCAATTTTTTCCTTTTCTATTTGAGATGAATCTCAACGGTACAACAAGCGCTAAATATTGGAGATGTCGCCTTAGCATTAAATCAATACTACCACCAATACTTTTGTCTTACGCCCAGGGAAAAATTTTTGATGAAAAGTCGCGACAAACTGCGGTTTTTCTAAGAATACCTTAGCTGAAACACTCGGTTCAGGATGACTGCACCTACCTGAATTTTTTCCAAAATTCAGGTGAGCTACCCTTCGAGGGGCGTTGTGGTGAACTTTTTAAAGTTCCATTGCCGCAAAGTTGCTTTGCAGTCAGACATAGAATAAGAAATATTCTTTGAAATTTCTGAAAATAGTGGGGCACGACATCCTCATTGTCCTTACACATTCTCTCATATTTTAAATATATACTATAGATACCGCGGTTTTCCAAGCCGATGTAGGTCGCGGTTATGTGGGGAAACATTCAAAGTCAATATCTCAACTTAGCAGGATACCAAAGGAACAAAGTATCGAAGAAAAGATGTCCAAACTCCAAAAGGAAAAGAAAAAAATATCGAAAGTACAAAACACGATCAATGTCTACTATGAACTAAAGTCAATGTATGAGTCATACACATGACCTATCTGCTCAGCTAAGAAATTGATTAACAATGTTAGCGGGTACTGTAACGACAGACTCAATTGAGTAGCTTACCGCCACCCACGGTAATAATGTTGATTAGCTACTTTATATATCCTGAATGCAGCTACCCTACATATAGCACAAACTTATACAGGGAGAGCACAAGAGAGAACAATAGAGAGAGATAAACATAGGAGAGAACAATTGAGATATGATAACGAGGAAAGAGGAAAGAGAAAAGGAAGAACAACGGGACATGATATCAATATCAGCACAAGTACCTTCTGTTCACCCACATGCACATTAATCCTCACGTTCACACGTTCATACCCAAACCTACACCCTAGACACATGGGTACACTCAAAAGTAAAACGAAGTCGGCAACAAATGCCTCATGTAAGATCGACCTAAAACCCTTTCAACTTGACTCGATAAGTTGAAAATCGATACTGAAAAATATTTACAAGGATTGAGTTTCTGGCTCGCAAAAAGTATATAAGAATGAAGAATAATTTCATCATTTTATGCCTATTTAAAAATTTTGTCAGTGCACTTGAATCGTAAAAATAATAAACTTTTCAACTGTCATTATATTCTTGAACGTAACAACAATAAAAAATATCATTTTTTTCCACTAACAGAAGTAAATTAATAAAAAATGCCGTCTTGAAAACTTTTCGAAAGTCTTATATAATATGCAACGTTTTCAATATTTTGCTTTTCGATTGCTTCTGTTCGATATGCTTGTATTTCCAGATTGTGCACTTTTTAGATTTGTTTCTCAACATATGTCTTGGCAAGATTTTGCTCTTCGACATTTTGATTTTCAATGTCTTGCAACTTTTCCGATACCGCCATATTGAGTACAGTTTTTTTTTTTAAATCGGTTGATACCGCGGTTTGAAACTGGTGAATACCACGATATTAAATACCACGATTGTCAAGAGTAAGACTGCGGCGGAGTCAAAAAAACAGCGGTTTATGACGGTTTTTCTGAAATTTTTTTTCCGTGGACGGTTCTAAGACAAGTATTGCAGCTTATATTGAGTAATGTAGTCTTAAAGCAAAGTCGACTTTTCTGACCAATTTCAATGCTTTTACGTTACAGTTTCAATTCAAAAGCATTTTAGCTACTATTAATTAATACAACATTTGATTAATTTAACATTAGCTAATATGCTTTTCTGTTAAAATTGTAACGTAAAAGTATTGAAACTAGCCAGGAATGTTGAGTTTGCTTTAGGATTACATTACCCAATACTAGCTGCACTATTTTTGTCTTCGGATCGTAACACAAAAGTATTGGTGTTAGTATTAATTTATTGCTTATGCTAATGCTAAGTGAACATCAATAATAGACATATTTGATATTGCGGATAAGGGTCAAGGGAGTCGGAAAAACGAAGGAAAGAGGTGGCGAGGGAGTAACAGGCAGTTGCTCCCTCTCACTAAGCTCTTCGAATACGATGGTAAACGACGTTCTGTACAATTGTGTACGATCGTTTACCGTAATCGTATACACGTCGTATTCCAGATGGCACGTAATTCGGCGTAATACCATCGTTTATCACTGTCATAATGATTCTCCTGAGATAACTCAATCATATCAAAACAATTAAACTAACCAAGTTTCTTTGTTAGGATTGTACTTAGATGCAAATCACTATATTAACGTCTACTTAACGTGTTAAACAAATAGACTATTTATTTAAAATTCATTATTGAGAAATGAATATGATAACTAATTAAGAAATAATGAATTGACACAAAAGTCGGTATTTATTATTTATCAAAATTTAGAAGAATAAATATGGTAAATATTCGAGAAACGGCAACACAAAAAACGTTTTCACTCTACGATATAGATTTACATAAAATTTACTCTTAACGTAAGAAGAAGAATCATATTCGATTGAAAAATAACTTTTTAATTTTTTTTTTATCGAACCCATTGAATAATATTAATTATGTTTGAAACGATTCATCAAGTGTAGAACTGAAGAAGAATCTGCTGAGAATGAAACAGTGTTTGACAGACAGACTTATGTCTATTATACAAGAGAATTGATCAATAACAAATATTCAATCTGTTTTTTTCATTGTCAATTAATGACATCGATTTATTTATTGTCAAATAAAAACAAAATAAGATAAATGAGTTAAAATAAAAAATGTAAAATATTAACAAGGTTGATTAGAAAAAAAAGTTGTTGATGAAGGAATTTTTCTAAAAAGTGATAAAGGAGTTGTTGGAGATTTTCGAATTCGAATTCGATTTTTATTTTTATCTGTTGTTAAATTAAATGTTGATGATGGGGCAGCTAAATAACTATGTTGATTAGTTTTATTTTCTACTGATCTTTTTTTTTTTCTTCGTCTTTTATTTAAATATTGAAAATAATCATTTGATTTATTTAATTGATCATGAATATATGTTAATGAAGATTTAAAATTACTTTGTTTTATTTTATATGATGATGAAAAAGATTTATTATCTTCTTCTTCATTTTCTTGTTCTTCTTCTTCTTCTTCTTCTTCTTCATCATCTTCATCTTCTTTAGATGATTCATCACTTGATGGTTGTGGTGTTACACGATTTATCATATCTTTTAAAACAGCTGCATCACGTTTTAAATCATGTCGTGTTGATATTATTGATGGATTTTTTCCTAATTTATTAAGTCTTTCAGCCGCAACTGATTCCATTGTTCTTCTCATTAATGGATAAGATTCAAGAACTGTTTCAAATTGACTTGAATCTAATGAATATAAATTACAATATGTTACACAACGAACACCTGCTACACGTTTAGCTCGTGTTAATAAACATATTTCTAAATAAATATTATTATTATTTTATTTTAATAAATAGAAACAAAATAATAAAAACAAACCTCCAAT